ACAAACAAACGGTTCCTGATAGCAACCATTTATTTGTATTGATTGTTAAGATGTTCAAATCGTTTAATACATATTTATTTCCATATTTTTTGCATTCCCATAGGTGAAATAATCCTCTAAATACCACTTGAGCTTTAAAATGAACCAGATAATTTTTCACTCATGCGTGTTTTCTCTGCAAATTTCACTCGTCCTACGGACTCGTGAAATTATAGAAAACACGCAATCGTGAAAAATTATCGGTAATTTTGAAGCTCTCGTGGTATTATCCCCGAAAATAAAGTGCATTCCATTTAAAAAAAGTGAACATTGACATATTTTTCCACTTTGTCTTGCTCATTTGTTCCATCTAATTAAAAATTCTGGCGGTTCAGATAAAAAGCTACAACTTTTGTATTTACACTTTTAACCTATCACCTGTAATTACGGCTGCAGGTGGGTGTCAAAATATAGTGACTCACCCTATACAGGGAGTATATTTTAAGTAATACCACTATTGCTATATCCGAAACAGTAAAAGATACTATGTCGGTTAAATTCGAAAAAAGTTGATTTTTTTAAGCCCATTCAAGACTTTACAGTATTGTTAAATTCCTTTTGGTTTATGAAATACAGGGTGATTTCTAAGAAACGCCTTGAAATTTTTCATCATATATTTCGAAAACTATTTATTTTAGAGACGCAATTTTCATTTGAAAGTTTTATAATTTTTTTCGCTCTACAACATGGCATCTTCAAATTTTAAATTTGACGTTTCGAGATCGAGCTCCATCACCAACTTCATTCTTTCAAATACGGACTGGTTTTTTTTTGTCATTTTTAGAAAGCGCCCTTTATTCCCTTTTTAACGACATACCTTTCAAGTACGATTGGCCGACGTTTCTGCTCTAAAAAGTGATCATCAGTGATTTTCACCAAAATAATTGATGAAATATTTTCAGGCGTTTCCTATAGAAATATCATAAACTAAAAGAAACTTGGTAACACTGTAAACGAAACTTAAATGGGCATCAAAAAAGGCAACTTTTTTCTAATTTAACCGACCTTGTAGCTCTTACCGTTTCGGCGTTTTCGGATATAGCAATAGTGGTATCACTTAAAATATATCGGGTCTTCAAAAAAAAAACCAATCAAAGATTGCTATGGTTTTTTAAACGTATGTCTTAGCAATATTTTTTTAAAATTTTGTCAATGAACTTAAATGTCAAAATTCCATGTCAAAAATCCTGACCAATAAGGAAACAATAATGCGACGTACGTTTCCGTAACCAAAGCAACCTTTGATTGTTTTTTTTTTGAAGACCCGATACGACCTTGCATTCTTACATACATATATCAACAAGTGGTTTACAACTGTCGTCGTTTCTCGTTTCTCTCTTTCCATAGGTCTGGGTTCCACCAGTCTCCTTCTTGAAGGCCCCTTTTTTCCATGGCCTTCTTGGTGGTCTACCGCGCGCGCTTTCTGCGCTTTATTGGGATCCAAATTTAAACTTTCTCTGGCCACCGTCGTGTCCGTTCTTTCGAGATGGCCATACCATTGTGCCTCGTTTGGATCAATCGTGACTATAATAGTTCCATCTTCTTCCATTGATTGTCTTATTTCTTCATTTCTAATATGTGCTAGTCTGGTGTTCTGCTGCTTCTTCTCCAGTTATCCAATCTCTGTCCCTTTTTGTTAATTCCCAGATTTCTGCCACGTAGTTATAGTTTCAACAATGATATAGTAAATTATTTTCTTTTTGTTATTTTGTGGCTCCATAATGAGGAATCAAGTTGGGAAATAACTCTTCGCCCTTGACCAACTTTATTAGAGATGAAAGTTCTTTTATCATTGTAACACCAAGATATTTGAACAAAGGGCAGGTCTCCACCACACAATGTCCTACATTGGATCTAAGTCATCTGCCAATTCGTCGCCAACTGCCATATACTACGTTTTCTTCATATTTATTGTCCCCAGTTTTCATATTTTTTTCGTAGTTTTCGGAGCATGTGACTCGTCATCTTGATCTCCAGCTATAACTACCTCGTCAGCCAAAAAGAGAGTGAAAAGTCCTTTCCTATCGGTAAGCCCATGCCGCTACCCGCTACATTTTCTCTTCCAAGATTTCAGGGCACTCTCAATTGACAGCATTTACATATAAGTTGCTTATCGCAACGCATTGCTGGCCAAAACTTAAGTGGCAAATGAACCTTTTTTTAATAAGATTTTTAAGAGTAAACACTGCTGAATCAGTGTTCTTCCTTTCCATGCTCTTTAGACGTTTCCACGCTTTGCTTCCTCGCGAATTTGCCAAGCTTATGTTGACTTGGTCACATGATTCTTCTTCTTCTCACAAGTCGTTTTTTGCTCTTTTGATCTGTGCTTGAGTGGCCCTTGGTTTGTCGTCGTGTCTTTCTCGAATTTCGCGGGCCTTCGTTTCTAGTCATTTCGTATATGCAGCTTTCTTTTCATTTACTACCTCTTCTAGCGACAGCGTGTTGGTCCACCAAACTTATTTGGGAGGCTCTTTTTCATTTTTGTCCTAGAACCTCGTTTTCTGCTTGGTCTATAATGTTTTGATAACCTTGCACAAATTTTTTTGCTGTGCTCTATTCTTATACTGTCGAGAGTTTTTGAGCGAGTCGCAGTTGGTGTAGGTGAGAATTTTGTTGAGTCATCGTTAAGGCTTTCCAGATTATTTTTGATATTGGACTCTTCTTTTGTTACCTGCTCCTCGTTTCCTTGTTAAGCTTTGGTTTTGTAGGGAAAGATTATTTTCCCAAGCAGTACATGGTATTCTGATGTGCATCCAGCTGGTCCTCTAACATCGGTTATCTTTGATTAGTATCCTGTCTGATCAGATAGTCGACAATCGATTTAAGATTTTGTATAGGTTGGACCCATGTATAGCGATTTAGTACTTATATTAGGTCTGTTTCTGCAGAAATCACAAACCAGTCAGAGTGAATTTCATTGGTTGAAACTAGTTTTCTGACTGTTTTCAACCAATGAAAAGCGCTCTGACTGGTTTGTGATTTCTGCAGAAACAGACCTATTATGTGTAAGAGAAAGCCTAAAAATGTTAAAAGTAAAATTTCTTCATACCTTTTCCATCACATAAAGCCATTGTAATTATTTTATTGTAGGTATATTCTCAAATAATAATTGCTGTTACGAAAATTTCAAATCTCTGGTATTTTGATATTTTTCGACACTTGGTAGGTAAACACACCCGAAGAGGTATTTACTCAAGCAAAACAATAAGAATCGCAGACATCAGGAGCCGAAACTATTAAGTTACCCTTTCTGGTAGATTAGGCAACCCTTTCTCGGATTAGGGAATACCTTTTATTTATTTTTTTTGATGGTTTTTGGTCACCTGCTTAGGAAATTTGATATTTCACTGTTTGGTAACGACGAAATTTAATTGCCTCAATTTGTAGTGTTTTTCGTTTGAGATAATTGCACAAAAAAATAAAAATTTTAAGTCGATGAGTAGGTTTTTGAAAATGTTTCATTATTGAATTATTGAATGTTGAGTCACAACAAAACGGCTTTTCAAGTAAGGAAGAAATATAATAGGTATATATCTACGTTGCGTAATATATATATAACGTGCCACATGGAAATGGTAGATTTTCATAGAAGATATTAAGTGCGGAAAGTGGTAAGTAGGTACTCTTCCGCAGAAAGACATCATAAGGGCGGAAGAATTTGCACTTTCCGCAGGTATTACTTTGGGCTTAGTTTAAAAAAACATAAAAGTAACAGGAACTCTGATGTGAAACAAGGTGTTGAAAATCTTATTTGAGTATCACTGGTTGACACACACGTCGGACCTATACCGTAACTTGGGGGTCTGGCAGCTTGATAAAGTATTGAGGCTGGAACAATGTAAACTTATATATAACATTAAAAACAAAACTCAAAAATCAAATATTACATTTACATATTCCAGGGATATCCACACACATAATACTAGGTCTAAAGAAAAATATATTTCACACCAATATTAAAAGTAATAAAGGTTTGCTAAATCCAATATACCAGGCGTCAAAAAGTTATAATTCACTCCCAGAAAATATTAAGAATATAACAAAATATAAGAAATTTGTAGAACAAACTAAATTATACATAAGTTTGCATACGTAACCTCCAATGTGTTTATATTAGTGGGTTGTGTTAGTGTTTCCATCATTTTTACTAATTAAGTTTTTTACTGAATAAGTTTTTTGTTCCTATTGCAGAACTGTTAAACATTAACTGGCGTAATTATCCTTGTTACCAGTGTTCTAATACACTGTTTAAAGGATTTAATGTGAATTGTAGGAAAATAACAATTATTGCTTACTTAATAAACGTTTTCAAAAAAAAAAATATTAATTCAAATTTTTAAGATTTATCTTCAACACCAGAAAAACCATGAGAAAATTTCAACAAGAAGTAGCAAGATTTATCTCACCTTAATCTTGCGAAAAGTGCTCTGTATGCAACCCGTCGTAGGAAAAAGGAAATGCGTTAAAATTCGCTGAAAATGTTCCTTCCAATAAACATTATTGCGAAAGCTTTTTTTTATCAACGATCATAGCTAGCTTCATGGGCATTAATTATTACTCCCTTAATTTTTATATGATGAAATCAAATTAGGGCTCAACTCTCATTACGTCATATAGGTATCTATTATCTAAGAAAGGTACCTACTCAATGTCCACTGTGTCACAACAATGAGTAGGTATTCATGAAGACGTATGTATGAATGCACAAAAGGCAGATTCAGATTAAAAATTCAGAAGCGGTAACCAGATACAGGCCACAACAAACCCGCCAGGGGCGGTAAACAAACATAATAGGGCCAGAAAACAATTTTCCGCCTAATTGGCCCGACACAGATCCGATGGACTATAGAGATACAAATCTCTATAACTAAACCACCCGAGAGTGGGGGCAATAAAAGGGGGTAGCTGCAGTTGATACAGTTTAGTTTTGAGAAAAAATTTCAAGTATGACAATAATCGTCATGGCCCATAATAATGCTGAACAAACATTGAGACACAGTGATTTCAGTATCGATCATATTTTGAATAGAGCTGGAAGCAGTTATAGTAATAGTGAAAAAACTGGTGATAGTGATAAAGCGAGTTTTCAATGGTTGCAGTGCTCTAGATATTGTCCTCCTAGAATACCAAGTAAGTTATTGCTGATCATCTCTGAACTAGGATCATAGTGTTTGCTAGTGGTTGTCAGGCATCAATGTTGCTAAAAATCTTGTTGCCAATGTTCAATAGTTATTTTACTAGTACAGTATGAGCTTCATTACAGTAGATAACGAGTGGGTAATATTGACACAACGACTCCTGCGGTAACCACACGAGTGCTGTAATGAGCTTTATCATACGTGTGATATACATTATCTACGATTATTGATACTTACTACGATTTGATTTTTCTCAACAATTTATTTGGTGATCTTAAAGCTCCATCAAGACTGATAAGAAATATTTTCTCAACAAATACTTTACGTAAAATACTGTACAACGCTGCACTTCTTCTAATATCCAAAATTTCCAAATCACATAGTCCAGGTGGTCTCATCAGCATCAAGTATTAGTTTACTTTTAATTCCTGATGCGAATCAATAAATTTTTAAAAAAAAATGCTGTTTTTTAATAAAGATAAGTTAGGTACCTACGTAATGAGTTTAATTACGTGATAACGATAACGTGATATACTTAATAATGTAATAACATTACATCACTAGTACCTACGATACAACTATTACCTGACTCCTGAAATGGGTTACGTAATAAGTTCTTATAGTGTGTGTGTCGTCTATGGAAAATATTACAATAAAAACTCTTTCTTTTACAGGAATCCATAAAAAAGAAGCTCAAAAACGTCAACTAGGTCGCCATCCACGTATCCCCTTTACAACTTACCAGCTCTCGATTCTAGAACAAAAATTCAAGGAAAGTCCTTATTTGGGAAGCGAAGAAGTGATGACTCTATCCAACAAACTCCAACTGGCTGATATAAGGGTGAAAATTTGGTTCCAAAACAGGCGCGCGAGAGAAAGACGCGAAAAACTTAGAGGCGACAATCAGGACAAAATGCAAGATGATGCGGTGGATGAGAAGTTATTGGGCAGTAGCAGACCGCAAAATCCTGAAGAGTTTGTTGCTGATTACAGTTTTAAAACCTCATTTACTAATAATCTGGTTTTGCCGAGTGGTAGCAGTACTGGACATCATATCAGTGATATTTATAATAATAGTTTAAAAAAGTCAATACTTTTATCTACGGGATTGCCTTTATTTATTCCTAGTATTAATTTTGTTAATAAAAGTGATGTTAATTCATGAATTTTGATTATTACTCTAGGGTATACTGAACTTGCTCTAAGTAGGGCTTTTCGAAAACGCCTAAAGACGTCTGTCAAAGCATAACCAGACAGCATAACCTAACCTCAACTTTATGTTTTTGTTTTTGTTTCTAGCTGCGATTTTTGTACCTAAATGGTTTAATTATTATGCTTGTTTAAATGAATATTTTTCTATTAAAATGAGTACGAAAAAATGTGTAGGCAAAGAGACCTTCCAGAGGATAAATTACCTATATCAGGTAACCATTTTTTCACCGATCTATCATGGAAAAGGCTCATAATTGGGCTAGCCTTCGAAAGTTTTTTTTTTTGTTGAGGGTTCGAAAGTTTAATAATAAAATTGTATATACTTATGAGACACTTCTATTGCTCTGAAACAATTTTCCTTAAGCAACTCTTTTTCAGCTATGCAATAAACTAACAACAGAAAACAGAGCTGCTCATATTGCCTCAAACCACTACTCAAATTTAGCAGTAAATATCTCAAAAAAAGCTGTTCAAAGATTGTAAGTAAAACCCATCCTATTATCCTTAAAAACGTCATCAACAGTTAATTCCTTTTAAGAGATATTGACATCAAGAGAACCCTATGCAAAGGCTGCCGATCCATACTCATACCAGGTGTAACATGTAAAATAAGAATTAAAAAGAAAAAAGTGCTTAAACATTGCATGAAGTGCAGTAGAGTTAAAGTATTTGATACTAGGAACAAAAATTATGTGCCTTGGAGTCATAGAGAGGAGAGTTTGGTTGAATTATTGGATTATGCTGATGAAGAAAGTGAAAGCAAAAAGAACAAAATGGATACAAGTGGAAAATAGTGTGATAGGATTTTGTATTTTTTGTCTACATGGAATTTGTAAGGTTTAAACGGATTGCAAAATAAATGATTTGATTTTCAATTAATACTGATTAACAGTGTTAAGCTGCGGATGTTTTTCTTCCATTGAAGTTGTTTTGTTGGCATTGGCTAAAGTGTATGAGATTTTTGCTGCAAACCTGTAGTTTAACCCCAAATTGATTTCTAGTAGTCTTATTTTATTTCTATGTAGAAACCCCATGGATTTCCTTGGTGAAACTCTTTCAAAAATGCTTCCGTAGAATCTTCAATTTGTTTCTTCACACAAAAATACTCCACTATTGGAGCAACTCCGAAATCTATTACTTACGTACTTTTGTATACCCTTTTTCTTCAAAAAAAAAATAATTTTAAACTTGATAATACTGAGAAAACCGAATCAAAAATAAAAATATGCATTCATCAAGTCAAAAGCATTACCAATAATTACATTAAAAAAAATTATATACAGGGTGTTCCTAAATATCATGTACAAATGGAAGGGGGTGATTCTTCGATTTATTTTGTGACTGAAATTTTTAATAAACATAGGTCCGTAAACGCTTCATTACTGATCTACAGGGTGTTGAAATTTTAATGTATAATGTATTGATATTGGAAATGAGCAAGAATATGGCGGCAGGAACTCTATTGTAGCCACTGTAGGTAGAAAAGGTTTATTGAGTCACTATATTTTCATTTAGCTAATTACAGAGATTTGTTTTTTAATTTTTTTCTCGATAAGGGTAAATAATTCGAAAAAACTACAAAAAAACAAAAAGTTTCTAAATAAGGCAGAAAAACTATTTTGTTTTTAAGAATCTACCAGAGGTGCACCGCAAAAAAGTTCAGGGGCAGAAAAGAGGGCATGATCCCCAAAAAAACATCACGCTTTAAATTCTGGCTGCTTGACATGTTCCATCATTCAGCTCCTATTGTGTAACCTATAGGTATTCCAATTTTGAGATAAATCACAAATCACTCTAAAATTGCAGGAGCTATAAAGAAAAAAACCTAAAAAATATTAAAATTTCAACACCCTGTAGATTGGTAACGAAGCGTTTGCGGACCTATATTTACCATAAATTTTAGTCATAAAATAAACCAAAGAATCACCGCCTTTCGTTTGTACATGATATTTAGGAACACCCTGTATAATTTGTACTAAATAAGATGTGAAACAAAAGAACTTGTTGCACCTGCTACAAACATTTTTCTTTGAAAGGGAGTGACTATTCCGACGACTATTCTGCCATCCATTCAGCAGATTAGACTAAGTATATGATTATCAAACCGATCCATTGGTAGAATATGTTTTACTGCTGATAGACCACACACTATTCAATAGAATAGCATTGGAACTTGAACAATTTTTGTGCTATATTGCCAGCAACTGAATTTGCGAAAATATGAATACACATACAGGGTGTTCATTTTGAAACTTATCACCCCTATTATCTCGGAGTTGGTAAATTTTCGGAAAAATCCCTGAAACGAAACATGTGAACTATAATTTAAAGGGGGATGAGTTTTTTTGCAAAATTCACCTTCCCCCTTTCAACTCCCCAGAGTTAGGGTTGCCAGACGTCCCGATTTTAACAGGACAGTCCCGATATTGCAGATTTTGTCCCGTGTCCTGATGGACTATACGTCGGGACGCTAAATATCCCGATTTCACGGAATTAAAAAGTTGGAAAAATAAAAGTGTTTATAGTCACTTATTTTTGAATTGTACCTGATTATCTATATTACTATTAATCAACGCTATTAATATTATCATAATTATTGTCAAGATTTTTCTGATTTTGACGATAAGAATACCAATGCATTTTATTATTTTGCCTTATTTTTTATTTTTAAATTTTATTACAAGTTTTATCTTTCAATTTTATCTTATTTCCTTTATATTGAATTATTTCATTAAAAAAAAAGTGCCGTGATTTTTATTTACAGTCCCGATTTTTTAACAGCCTCTTGATTGGTAAAACCCGATTTGTAGATATTCCCATAGAAGAGCCTACTTACCACGAATCCCGATCCTTACAAGATCGATGTGTTTGCACCTTTTTACAAATCAGACCTCAAATTGATTTCCGCTCGAAGATCGTTTGTTATAACCTCAGCCCCTGCTCCAATAACTCGTAGGCTGTGGCATTATGGAGCTGCACACTGGGAAAGCCTAAAACTCCTTTTCTCGACCTTTCCGTGGTCCGATGTTTGTTTGCTTTAATTAAAATCCAAAGATCTGTGATCCAAAGATTCCTCCGAGGCTGCACAAGAGGTTAGCGGAATAATTTCCTTAGGAATAAAATTGTACATTACACACCCTGATTTAACAAGCAGTGTGTCGGAGTGATTGCAAAAAAGAACACCGCATGTCGTGCAGCGTAAAAACCAATGCAAACAAACTCGATCGTCCTTCACGACTGACAGAAATAATAATTGCAACCATATAACCAACAAAGCTAAGGAGTTACTCAACCAACAGGTGCATATAATCGTCTTTTGCACTGCCCGAGTGGACCAAGGTCCTTTTGGTCCTTTGCCAAGACCCTAGGAAAAAATTTCACATCTTCTGCCTTTCCACCTTTAGTTAAGGACAATAATTCTATTATAGCCGAAGGGAATAGCAGATCTTTTTGCCGAAAAATTTGCATCCAATTCCACCATGGTGCACAATGGCAGATCGCCGCCAGGTACTGCCATATAATGGTTCTTACATGGACAACGTTGTGTTTAGACCTCACCTAAAACTATTAGGAAAAGTCTCCTACAAATTGACACTTGGAAATCTTGTGGCCCCCATGGCATTCCACCTTCCATCAATTGTCCTCAAAACTTGCGCAAAAGATTTGGCTTCAGTTCTTTGCAAACTGTTTTCACTCTCTTACAGTCGAGGCGTTGTCCCGTCTATCTGGAAATGTGCCAGAGTGCAGCCTATCCGAAAAAGGGTGAGAAAACTAGCAACTATCGTCCCATCTCACTTATTTCCGTACTTTCGGAAGTAATGGAAAATACAGTCAACCTTAAACTGGTTAAATACCTCGAAGCCAATAAGGTCATCTATAGTCATCTCTGACAAACAGTACCTACAGGTTTTATTCTAAAAGATCAACAAGGGAACTGCTAGCGTATGTCAGTCATATTGGGAACTTGACTCTCGAAAAACCTGGCGAATCTAGAATTGTAGCATTGGACATCTCCAAGGCTTTTGATTAGGTGTGGCACAAAGGTCTCCTCAGCAAACTTCCATCGTATCGTCTTCCGACCAAATTTTGCCATTGGCTGGGGAGCTTTTTGGAAGGCAGGTTGCAATCGATGGTGTATTCTCTGATAGATTGCCCATAAATGCCGGCGTTTCCCAAGGCTCAATTCTGTTCCCAACACTGTTTCTGAAGAAACCCCATGTATAACTTTGGGAACAATCGTAGTCTGATGGCATCTTTCTCTTCTGATAAACCGCTTAATGCAGCCACTTTTTTTTACATGCCTCGCTTGAGAACAGATTTATTCTCAGTGATCTTGACACAATTGCCAACTAAGGCCTTAACAACCTAGTCAAGGATGTCAAGACAAAACATTTCTATCAATCGCTCAGTATCTCTTCTTGGGGTGACCGCACCGACCAACTTGCCTTGGCATAGACATGTATATTCGATCGCCAAACCCGCTTCTCAAAAATTAGGTTTTTTGTTTCGTGCACAGTGCCGTATTTCCCTATATGCACACTACGCACAGGCGTAGAGCGGCAAATCTGGGGAAGCGGCAAAATTTCAAAAAAAAAATCAGGAAAAGACAAAAAATAATCAGGAAAAAGCCGAAGATCCAACGCGCAACGCGGTTCTGTTTCGCGTTAGATTTTTATTTGATTTATGATAAATTCGAACAATGTTATAGCATAACAAATACAAAAAAAAATATCAAAGCACAAAGAACAGATAGGTAGGTAAAGTTTGTTTCGCCGGGGTTTGTACAGGGTGATTCATTAAGAATGGCACTCGGCCATATCTCAAAAACTATTCATCGTAGTCTTGTCGGAAAAAAATTATCCCATAAATATGGCCAAGAGAAAATGCTGGAAATATATTTCAGCTTTCTAAAATGACCGTAAGAGGGCGTAACCCAACTGTCAAAGTTCAAAAATGGTTTTATTTTTGAAATTTCAAATAGAAACGTATCTTGAAAATGCTAGCAATAAATTTTTGATTTAATTTCACACAATTTTGATTAATGACTTTTTACCAGAACTTATCGGATAAGATAGTTATGAGCTGTCAAATATTGCAACTCAAGAAAGCGAATAGCTTCAAAACGACTCAACGAATCTGGTCGATCTCAGGTTTGTTGGAAAGACAAGAGTCTGCTCTTTAATTTTGTTGTGAAAAATTTAAATTCTGGTTAGTAGGACTGACGTTATGGGTCATTATTTGAGAACCATTGAATGTTTCCAATTTTTCTTGAAATTTTCAAATGGAACGGTATATTTAAGATATGTTCAATTGATTTTTGAGGATGTTTTACACGGTTTTTCTTTATCATACCTTCCTACAAACGAATTCCAGATAGTGTTAAAATTAATTTTCTTAAAAATAATCAGTATTTATGAAAAAGCCCTCGTAAATTGAACAGATACCAGTTAAATATGTCAGGCTGACACATTTTTAAAACTTCAAGGGTGCGTTCGAAATCACCTTGGGCGTCACACCGAGTGCACACCAGCCATGTATAATTCATGGCTGGTGTGCACTCGGTGTGATGCCCCAGGGTAATTTCGAACGCACTCCAAACATTATTTTCTAAAGTCAAAATGCATTTCCCAAATGGAGAAGCACAGGACATCCTTGAGCTGCATGAATGTAACGGAAATGCAGCAATCGCAGCACGTATTTATTCAGGGCGTTATCCCCAAAGACCTCACCCTGACCCTAGATCCATCAGGAGGTTGAATAATCGTTTAAGGGTTACGGGTAGTATTCATACCCCCTTTTTCACTCGAAGACGTAGGGCCACGTGCGAGGAAAATACAATCAACGTTCTGGCACTATAATTTCCTAACGCACTTTTTTCA